GGAAGAGCAGCCACTTCTCAGGGAACTAGTCTTGCCTGGGGCGGCTGAAGACAGGCCTGCCTATGGGAGAGATGGCCACTGGGCTGGTAGGAAGAGGTGAGTTTTGACTCTTCCGCAGAAACTAAATGTGTGCCATTAGGCTGATGTCTTGGTGTCACTCGCTTCTGAAGATGCTTGTTTAATTTCACTGTTTTTTGAAGATCTTTAAACATCTGTTTGTCTGCGGGAAGACATCACTGACACATAGATACGGATTCGTCAGGGTCTCTTCCTGCTTCTCTAAGTAGTGGGCTCTTAGCTATGGGCGTGGGGGAGGTAGAAGGGAAACCTAGAGGGGGCTTGCAGTTGCCACCTTTTCTGAAGGACTGGACAGTGGGGAGCCTGGGTCCTCTGTACTGCTGAATAGACTCCTGAACCTTGGGGGGTGGCACTATCCCCACCCCATGTGAGGGTGGGGGGCTGTTGCTTCTGTGCTCTTCAGGTGCTGACTATCCTCTCCTGTCTCCCTCTGGGAACCCTGTTGCTGAGTTAGAATTGTAGCCCTTGAAGTGAGTTTGGAGAGTAGGGTTTGCCTCCTGTGGGGGAGCTGAAGACACTCAGGAGTCCATTGTGCACTCACAGCACTGTAGGTCCAACAGTAGCTGCAGGGAGAAAGCACAGAACAAAGACCTAGACGCCCCAGGAAGTCTGCAGACCAGTGATAGTGATGTAGAAGGGGGCTGACACCTCCTACCCCATCATTCCCAGCAACTCCGGGGACAGATCAGGCGCGGGAAGAGCAGGTCCGAGATCCCCAGAACCTTGCCGGAACAGGTCTGTGGTTGTGCCAAAGACCAATTGGCTCCTCTGGGCAGGCCTGCTGCTGACAGGGAACCTCCAGTAAGTCCATGGCTATACTGACCATCAGAAAGGCCACACAGACAAGATACCTTGTCTGTCAAATTCTCTTCATCCATTCTTTAATTTCCTATATCCTTTCTACCCCACTCCAAACTTAACTTTCCAGTTGTGATAAGGACATGGATGTGGTCTCGCACCATCTGCTCTTACTGCCACCAAGTTGACCATTTTAAAAGGGCTGTGGTTGCTTTCTACATTTGGGACAGGAAGGAGATAACCCCTTGGGCTGGATTACTTGTAGAGAAAAGGTGAGTGTATGGGAAGGGTAAGACCAGGTCCATGAGCTTGGGTCCTTCTAGAAACCTGAGTATTGTATGAGCCACCCCTTCTGTCACTTTAAAACATTTGTGTTGAATTGCAAGAAACTTGTAGAATAAGAAAGAAGTGAGTTCTTTGGTTGATCTTTCCATCTTGGCATCAGCCAGCTGTTGGTACATGAGTCCCTTTTTGCGTCCAGCCACTTTCTGAATATTGGGCCCTGCTGCCTTGAGGCTAACGTTTTCAGAAAGTGACATGGAAGAGCGGTTTCCAACCCAGGCTGGAATTGGACTGGGCCCAGGGGACCGGACCCTGAAGGAGTAGCTACATGTCTGTCCCTGCCTCCTCAAAGGACCCTGACTCTGTGTCGTCGGCTGGCTTTATCACCTTCCTACTCTGAGCCACAGTTTCCTCGTCTATAAAATGAAAACGTTGAACTGATATTCAGGTGTCTTAGACCTCCAGTGTGACCTCTTGGGGCACAGGAAAACTAAAGCTCCAGTGACTGACTTTCTAGCTCCAGCCTGCCCTGAACTTGAATTCTGCCTCACTGAGCAACTTAATAAACAAATGACTTATAGTACCTGGTAGGTGAGGTTTTAATGGAGGTAAATGCTATCATCACAGAAGCCCTTCTTGAGCAAATACTTTGATGAGCCTCTCTTATGTGCTGGACGCAGGTGGTACCACATTGCACAGATAAAGAAACAGATTCAGGAGGATGTTGCTTCCCCAAGCCAGGCACAGAGCTGGCATGCAAACTCTGTCCTGATTGTGAGCTGCTTCTCTGGACATACTTAGGTGTGTGGAGCAAGGTGGGACCACATATTGAGGTCTGGGCCTAGGTACCTGAGAGGATGGAGTGTTCTGAGACTTGGCTGCAGGAGCTGGGGTTCTGTAGGGACTGGGAGAGCGTAAGCACAGACAGGTGGGAACAGTAGAAGGCAGGGGTCCTAGAGGTGTCTGTAAGAAGTCAAAGGAATGAAAAGGGGGTGAGGAAATAGAGGACCTGAAGGATGGTACCCTTAAGTTAAGGAATGAAGAAGGGATGACTGAGGGGTACTGGCAGCCACTCAAAATGTGCATGTGCAGGCGCTTGCCAGATGGGCCTGTGGCTGGACCTGAGGGCTTGCAGTGGCAGGCTCTTGTCCTCTCACCATGTAACTGCCAGCCCATGCTTCCTCCCATCTCTGCTTTGCTGGTTTCTTCCTTTTCTGCCTAGCCAACTTGTTCTGACCTTGCCAGTTTTGCTGTCCGGCTAAGAAGTGCCCCGGGGAAGGGACTGGCCACTGGATGGATATGTGGCAACACTTTACCCACCATGGAGCTATCTGTCCTCACAGCTGGCTGAATTGCTAGTGGCACAGGTCACTGCATCAAGGTTCCTGGGTTTTACCCGGCTTTGCCCCTTGGTGTGCTAAGCAGCATGAGCCTTTTTGGGGCCTCACTTTCTGTGTCTGCAGAAGGGCGTCAGCAGGAGGAACGTCATCCACCAGGGTAGTTAGGATCAAGTAAGAACCAAGGAGAGTACGCAGGTCACACTTCCGAGACTCAGCTTCCAGGACTTCACTCCCAGGCAAGGGCCTGTGATGGGCAGATGGGAACCCACCACCTAGCATTGCTGTTTTGGCCACAGCTAGTTTCCTGAGAGGTGTCAGGGGCCAGATGGGACCAGTATTGTAGCATTTTGGACACTTTTGACCCTAAAAGATGGAAACTAGAGGAAAAGAGTCATCTGGCTCAGAGGGAAGGATAGAAATAAGGACCTGAAGTGGGAGTGAGGAAAAGATCTACTATCCTTATCCAAAGCAGGAAACTCTTTACTGGGAACTTGCTATTTAAGAGGGCCCCTGGGGAGGTCTGGCTAGAAAGGAACCATTTGAGGAAGGTTTAAAATTAGCCCTGGTGAAATGGGTGGCCCTTGGGGAGAACGGAGGCTGACATTTCTGGGCCTGACCTGGCCTTACCACATCCACTGTGCTGGGGACAAGAGGAGGACTGGGTGTCCACATTCTGGTACCCCAAAGCTGGTGTGAGAATGAACCTGGATGAGTAGTCAGGAGACCTGGGATTTGACTGCCAGGTCTTTGTCTTGGAAGAACAGGTTGGGTAAAGTGAATGATCCACCCCTTTTTGAGTATTTATGCATACATTAAAGGCTTTTAATCAAAGGGCAGAAGGGTGTAGCAGAGTCCTGGAACCTTGCTGTCCAAGTTCTCCAGGTGCTTCTGGGAATAGGGTGGTGCCTAAGAGCTGTGGTACAGGGATGCAGAGCCCAAGGCTGGCAGGTACACAAGAAGCAGAGGCATATCTGATGGGGGAAGAGGTATCCTAAATGGCAGGAGCTTCTGCTGGGTGAGCCTCTTGGCAAAAGCTCATGTGAGGGAAGAAGCTTGCCCACACTCACTCTTTATCAGCCTGGGAGTCATTCTTGTGTGCGTGCAGTGGTTAGCAACAGCTATCAGTGCACGTTCCCTGTGCTATTCCTGGATTGGGGGGTAGAGAGGGAGAGGAGACAGACAGACAGACAGAGTGTGTATAGTTGTGCCTGGCTGCCTCGGGCTCCTGATACAAGCTGTTGTCTAGAAAGGCAGGTGCTTGGGTTTGGCAGGCCCTCACTGGTACATGGAAGAAGTTCTTTGGTTCTGGGGAAGGAATGTGGCCCACTGTAGAGCATCTAAATGCTTTCAGGAGTGGTCACATGATGGGCAGGCTGAGGCACATGGATTTCCTTTTGACAGTGAGGTCAGGTATGTAGGGAAGTTCCATTTATCCAGATTTTTCACTATCAGAAACCCACACTTTCAAACTGTGTTTTTCATGGATCTAAACTAGGGAAAATCCTCCATCCCCATTGGCTGATAGGGGCTTCCTAGGTTAGCATTAACTACCACATTATCAAACTAGCAGTGGTGAGCTAAGAAAGGATTCCTGTCAGCCCTCACTTGCACCCCACCTGTGCTCAGTTTAGGAGGTCTGGTTTGGCTGGTATCATAGGAAGGACACGTGGTGTCTGGGCCTGGCTTTGCCATCGATCTATAATCAGTGTTGAGGACAAAGCTTGTAACAGCATCATCTGCCTCACTTGAGGTTGACAAGATCCTACTCATGTTCTTCAAAGCCTAGCATAATTACGCAGTCTCTGACTGCTTACCCAGTTCCCTGATGGAGTAAATGTTTAGTACCAGCACCATGCTAGGAGCTGTGCATAAAGGTAGGAATACAGTACGTTTCTGGCCACTGAAGAGGCTCCATGTATTGTAGAAAGCAGGAGGTGGGTGTGAAGGTGGTGGCCCTCTTTTGAGAGGACCTCAAGGCACAGTGTGGCATAAAACTTCTGTTTAATTTTCATCTTGGCCTTTCCCGGACACCAGACAGTGTTCAGACAGTGTCTGAACCAGGTGTCTGTGGGCTGTGGGTATCTTCTGAGAAAATATATACTTCTACTTGTGCATTTTCGATGGTAGGCAGCCAAAGCTTTCTTCAAGCTGTCAGAGAGGCTCTTGGTCTAAGCAAGTTTCCTTTACCTGTGCACTTCTGACACAGAGCTCTTTCTTCTTGGCTATTTGGCAGCAGATAGCCTGTGCACAGAGACTCTCACAGATGGTGGTGAGTGACACCTGTAGGAATAACCTGGAGAAAGGAATGTACTTGGAAAGGTTAAGTACTGTGAAACTAACTGTTCACTGCCTCAGGCTCTAAAGGAAGCCCAGGAAATACTCATTTCCTCCCTAAACTTCCTGAAGGAAAAGCTGTGGCCTCCATCCTTCTGTCCAGCCTGGCACTGACCATTGTGGTCTCTGTCCCCAGGTCCGAACACTGTTTGTCAGTGGCCTCCCTGTGGACATTAAACCCAGAGAACTCTACCTGCTCTTCAGGCCATTCAAGGTGAGTGTGGACCCAGCCACCCACAGCAGAATCTAGGATGGAAGGGGAACATCAGGAATGAGTCCCTCACCTAGATTTGGCAGAAGGAAGACATGGGACAGTATTTCAGAAACTGTGGGCTCAGCCCTGACTCTGTCCTGGTTCTGCTAAGCCACATGTTGCTTTTCCTCCATTGTTTAACCCTGCCAAGCCTCTGTCTCCTAATCTGTAAATGAGACTATGGAGAATCTTGGTAGACTTTTCCATATAAGGAGTCTTTGAGATTCACTGTAGCCTTTCCAGTTTGCAGATGAGGAAAGTTAAAAAGGTAAGCTCTCTGCCTCCAGATTATAAACTAGTGGAGCAGATGGCATTCATGCGTGGAATGATGCTCCCCATCACGTGATGCCCACCCATGTGCCGGACCTTGTGATGTGGGACACAGAATGGGCGGTGGAGATCAGAGTGGGTGGTTTGGGGGAGAAGAGTGTGAGAATGAGTCAGGCGAGCACGGCGGAAGATGGGATTGATGTCATGGGTGACCGGGAAGGCATAATAAAGGCTGTGACCCTGCCGGGTAATGACCACCTCTCTCTGCAGGGGTATGAAGGGTCCCTGATCAAGCTCACGTCAAGACAGGTAATTTCTCTCCTCGGTTCTTCTTCCCAGTCTAGACCAGCTGCTGAGTTTGGGACTAAGCCTGTTGCCTTTCCGTTCTTAAGGCATTTGGGATCTGAGCCCCATTCCCTGCCATCCTGTTTCTGCTGAGGCTGATAAGAAAGCAACCTCCAAACTCCCCCCCTCCCCCCCCACCCTGGCTTCTAAAAAGCCACGGCCTGGCCCTGCACAGAAGTGGTAGCCGTGTGCTGGCTCCTGCAGCCAAGAGGTTGGAGGCCACAGCATTTGGGATCTGTCTGAACTGTGGGATGGTTATTGACAAAGTGAAGTTGGAGAAATTTGCAATCGATTGTTCTGTGAACCCGGAGCCTTAACATGCCCTTGCTACACTGGTGTCAAGGGAGATAGCGATAAAGGAGGCATTGGCCTCCCCTTTCTTGCCAGGAAGAACCTGGAAGGAATTCTTAATTACTTGCAGTTTTTAAGAGACTTACTGAAAGGGTGATGTTTGATGCTGTAGAGTGAGGTTCTTTGGGCATCTTCTGGGTGAGAGACCTCTGGCCTCAGGTGCATAAACACCTCCCACTGTTCCAGCCAAACATGGTAGGGCGTGGGGGAGAGGGGATTTCTCCCACCTTCTCTGGTCTCTTTTCACATACTGTTTCCAGTTAAATGATGGAGCCTTTGGAGAAGGTGGGGAAGATGGAATGTTGGGAGACATGCAAGGGTGTATTCTCTCTTTTTCCTACTAGCCTGTTGGTTTTGTGATCTTTGACAGCCGGGCAGGAGCAGAAGCAGCCAAGAACGCATTAAATGTGAGTAGGTAAATAGGTCTTTCTCTGACCCTCAAACCTCCAGGTGACGGGCATCTCTGTTCTGTCTTTTGCAAACTTTCTTTCCTCACTCCACACCAATAAAAGGGCCTACAGATGTACCTTATTTCCTGGCCGTCCCAGGGCAGTCTCTGGTTGCAACATCTGTGCCAAACACCACTGCTTACAAGGCCCACACAGCTGGTCCTCTGTCTTGGCCCATGTGTACGAGTCTCTCAGGCTAGCTGGTTTCTGTACCCACTGCAGTTGACAGTCTGGGTCTTACAGGTAAAGTCTTCCCTTTCTTTTCCTTCCCATGTAGGGTATTCGCTTTGATCCCGAGAACCCACAGACCCTGAGACTAGAGTTTGCCAAAGCCAACACCAAGATGGCCAAGAACAAGCTAATGGCGACACCAAACCCCACCAATGCCCACCCTGCCCTTGGAGCACATTTCATCGCACGGGACCCCTGTGAGTGGCACCCTGGCCTGCCGTTGGCTGCCCTCTTCTTGGCTTGAGCTGGGGACCTGTTGGAATTACGTCCTGAAAGCTAACACTGAACTTCTTTTCCCGAGGGAATCCATCCTGCTTGCCCCTCTTCCCGAGGCTTCTTGCAGCCATAGCCGCCCATCTCTGCAGGCACCACCTTCCTTCCTTCCCCGCAACCTTTGCTGAGCTCCTGAGCCTTGAGAGTTGCCCACCTTCCCTGAAGCCTGTTCTGATTTTTCTTGGTTAAGATGGATGAGATGGAAAAAGGCATAAAATGATGGAAAAATAAACTGTTACATAAAAAAAAGAAAAGAAAAGAAAAAGATGGATTGAGGCCTGCCCAAGAGCTTTTTTCAAAGCAAACAGTGTACTCACTGCTAGGCCAAGTCAGCATAGTTCTTCTTTCCATGTTCTTGGGGTCCTTCAGGGGGGTCTGGGCCGAGTAGGGCGTTTATGCGTCAGCCATAATGCTGAGTCTCCCTTTCTCTGTTTGGAGCAGGGTGAGGGAGGGGGAACCCAGTGTCCTGACGGTGGGGGCTGTTGTCTCTCATGTAGGTGACCTGATGGGAGCTGCTCTGATCCCCACATCCCCTGAGACCTGGGCCCCCTACCCTCTGTACGCCACAGAGCTGACCCCGGCCATCTCACATGCCGCGTTCACCTACCCGGCAGCCACTGCTGCTGCCGCCGCCGCCCTGCACGCTCAGGTAAGTCCCTGTGGGGAAGAAGTGGGAAGGGGAAGAAGGAAGGCCTGGCCAGGCTGTGTTCCTGCCTGGCCACTGGGTCGCTCATGTCCCCAGAGCTGTGGCAGAACAACTGTCAGTGCCCTTAGCCAGGACCCTCAGGACTTAGGTTCCTACGGCGGGGAGGGATAAACGTTGGGATCACGGGGAAGACAGGGGTGCTGGGAGACCAGCCTCTGTCCACCACCTCTGAATTCTGCTTACTGCCTCTGGCCACAGAACTTCATTTGAACCCCGGCCCCAGCTGCAGCATGGTCTTCAGAGCCAAGCCTCCCGCCTCTACCTCCTGTCTCTATGAACTTCAGAAAGCTCTTAATGATTACAAATAATAATGATTCACATCTTATTATTTAGAAAAATGAGAATGTTTTGTGCCTTAACATGGTTGTGAGAATTAAATGCTGAGACATGGGAAGTGCTCGACCTGGGCATGGAACATTCTGGGTACTCTGAGTGTTTGCTCTTGTTTTCACGAAGCCTGGACACTCTCTATCATGCACAAGTGCTGGGGTGGGAAAATGGGAGCAGGCATTTCTTGGGGTGAGTTTAGGAGGCAGGACTGTACCAGAAACCTTTGGGTACCATGGGCTTTGTGCTTGCCCAGTGCCCCACCAGATGCCCAAAAGGCAAATGGGCAGACAGTGAACAGACATGTGGGCATTTTTTGAGGCTATGACAGGGCTACCTGATATACTGCCTGGTATGGACAGGGCAGTCGCGGTGAGCCCCCTTGGCTTCCCAAGAGCCGAGACTCAGGGAGGGATAGTAGGAGAAAGGATGTGAGAGAATTCACAGGAGCTAGAAACCACGGTGGGGAGTCCAGGAGTGTTCTGCCTTAAGCAAAGTGCATGCCATCTCAGGTCCTGTGAAAGGCTTGGTGACACCTGGGTTTACCCAGTTCCAAGGTGGAAGGTTCAGATTCCCTGGCTGGCTGATTGTTTCCCCAGCAGGGGTGTTATCCCTGGCCACGGCAACTTTAGATTGTACTGAGGGCAGAAGTGTGGTTCAACTTGGCACTGTTCCCCAGCCACACACCACACACAGCTGGAAAACCGGTCGGGGGTAGGAAAGGGGATAAAGATCTCCCTCTGGAGGGAGATGCTTGTGTACTTAGCACCTGGGGTGGGCATAGAGTGGTGAGCAGGGGAGACTGTCCCTGTCCTCTTGACCCAGTGAAGTGAGGACTGTTTAATAACGGTAGGTGCCCTACAGGACCCTGCTGGGCCTCTCACCTCTGGACCCAGCTTTGCCACAAGTAAACTACCTGATCTTTGGCAGGTGACTTCTCTGGGCCTCCAAGTGTGTCCTCATCTGCAAAATGAGAGAAGAGAGATGACCCAGCTAGCTCTGAGATGCTAGGCCACGTCGGGGTAGAAGCTGGGAGCCAGGGACAATCAGTGTGTCAAATGAGTAAGGACAAGCCCCTCTGCCTTAGCAGGGTGGCCCAGGGCCACCATCTTTGAGCTCCGTGCTGCAGGCTGGTGCCTCTTGCTATCTTCCTCCCCAGCTTCTTCCCCACCTCCCCACGTGCTGTGGCCTTGTGACTCCAGACTACCTAGGTCTAGGTCCGGGCACTTTCCACATCTGTGCGATGCAGGCCAGTTGCTTCCCTGATTTCTTTATGGAATGGTGGTCATTGTACCTACTTTATTTTTTAATTTGACATGGTGATAACATCACAGGTTTCAGGTGTTCACTGTTCCAATTTGTTATATGTATATATAACAGTTCCCCACTAAAAGGATGTAGCACATTAGTAGACTTATTTTATAGGGTTGTTACATGTTAGCATATAGGGATGCTCTAGCAATGCCTACTTCATGGTTACTATTTAATGCTATTATTTTCTAGTTCCCCTCCCTACCCTTACCCCAGTCCTCTCTGAGCAGGCGGTCTCACTGGGCCTGAGTCCCTGTAAGTGGGATAAAAACTGCTACAAAGGACAGTGACATCGTGGGAGAGGTGGACTGACAAGAGATCGGGCCAGGTAGTGACAAGTCCTGTCCCTGCTGTCCTCCCTGTTTGGATAGCCAGTTCCTCACTGTAGCGTGCTCCTAGGCCCTGTGCAGTAGTGGCATGAAAGCATTTCTAAGTAGCATCGCCTTCTCTTTCCTTCTCTGCCCTGCCCCCATCAGTGCTGCTCCAGAGGTAGAAACGCCCAAATAAAGGACTGTCGGAGTTTGGGGGGACAACAAAAAGCTTTGGGTATTTCTGTACCTGCGCAAGGTAGTGACTTGGGGAGAAGGCACTAGCTAAGAGGCCAGAGCAACTGAGCTGGAAGGGATTGTGCTCAGTGAAAAACGTGAGAAGGAAGAAGAAAAATACCACATGGTTTCATTATAGGTGAAACATAGGAAACCATACAAGGGAGCAGGGAAAAAAGGTAAAACTAGCAGCCAAATTGTAACTTGGGGACATTCATGGGGGAGGGGAGGGGAAGTATCAGAACGGGAGGGAAGAGCATAAGGCTCTGTGGTGATGGCGCATGGGTGATTTGGCAGTGGGAATTTTATGGGGATTACAGTACCGAGGGGAGAAACCAGCACTGTACAAAAATGAACAACGGTGTAAGAATATATATAAACAAACATGGTGAAAAAAAAGAAAATAGGGAAAAAGAAGGCAAAAGCAGATGAAAACCAGCCCTTCCATTCTCAAGCCCCACCCCAAGTGTGCATGGCTGGTGGCTCACCTGAGGAGGATGCAAGGCCCAGAGCTGTGGGAAGCGGCTGGAAATGGATTGGCCTGCTTGGGTTGGCACGAGGCCATCTCGCTCAGATTCTCTGATCCTCTGGAAAGAACTCCCCAGAGAAAGCGAGGCAAGCAAGAGCTGCGGAGAGCTGGCACATGATGTGGTGACCTAAAAGCCAGGCTGCTCCTCCTTGTACCCCAAAAACCAGGCTTCTCCTTGTCCTCCTGCATCCAGGGTTCTCCCGGACTGGACCCCAGCCTAAGGAGGGTCCTCTCCTGGCACTCCTCACCTTCAGATTCGGCCATTTACTGACGCCCTCCAAATTCCAAGAACTTGCTTCTGTTTTCTTACCTGTATAATGGAGTTGGTAACGGCGTCCGCTTACTTAGGGCTTGGATGAGGGCGCCATGAACTTAGTAGAGGAGCGCTCTGCAGGGCAGCGCCTGGCATGTGTGAGCGCCCTGTCACCGGTAACTTGGAAGTCTGTGTTGATGGGAAGAAGCACAGGCAGGTTGTCTCTTCCTTTGTCCTGCTCCCCCAGATTAGTGTGATATTTCAGCTCTTAGAGTTGATAGGTGGCTGGACACAGATGTGTAAGTAAATCCGTAGATAGGAGTCTTTGACAAAAATTTTGATGCACGTTTATTGAAACTTGAATGTATGCGGGTGTTTTCCACATCAGTGAGTGCAGGGCTACGTGGTGGATACTTGCTGGCCCACTGTGTGTGTCTGGCTCCCAGTGGGTGGCAAATGAGGTGGTTCACACACTTTTCTGATACCAGTAGCTGGTGCAACAGTGGGCACCGAGCTCACACCCCTCTGGGCACCTCCCTGCTTGTTTTCCTTATCATAAATTCCTAGATCTCTCACAAGGTCAAAGTGTAGACTTGCCAGTCAGTCTGGCTTGAGTGAGGCTGGGTACGGCTTTCCCTGACTTTCTGACGAGGGAGGCGCCTGTATTTATTGACTGGTGACCTTCACCCCTTTGCCCACTTCTTTGTGCGTCTTCTCAGTCCCAAGCTCTGTTACTGCTTTTGGAGCCTGGTCATTGTCCCCTGGGGTCACCTCTGAGGACCTCAAAACCCCTATGGACAACTGGAGTCCCTGGAGAGACTGACCGTTTGCCCCCTGACATGCTGGCCCTGGCCCCTGGGCCTGGGTGATCTTGTTCTGAGCTCGGGCAGGAAGGGGATGTGCTTCTGTAGAGAACTGGATCTCTGGCCAGTAACAGGCAGCTGAGCAAAGTGGAAACAGCCCCTGGAGAACATTCTGTCAGCTTCAGAGGCACAGCCATCCTGAGCCCAGAAATGGGCTTCTTCTGCTTCCACTGGAGTGGCCAACTCGTGGCTGAATGGAAAGCTGCCACTTTGCAGGAGTAATCCCAGCCCTGTCCCCTTGCCTGGCCCTGCAGCTCACCCAGCCCCTCAGGGCACTTCCTTGCCGCAGGGCTGTTCCAGCCTGCTGCTAGGTAAGGGCGGTGATGGGGCCCACAAGAGGATTCCCTGAGCTACCCTGGGCCCACAGCTTGTCTGGTAGCCACGTGGCTGGCTCCCTTGTCCCTCGTGTCCAGCCGAGTAGCTATCCCATGGCTTAGATAAAGGAAAAAGAGGCTTTCTCCCACTCAGCTGTCAGGAGAAGGGAAGGAAACACATTGGAGGCAAAAGAAGCTACAACTGTCTCTGAGGCTAGACAGCTCAAAGGTGAGAAGAGACTCGGCCTTTCTGTGTGGTGTGGGGCTTAATCAGGGTGGTTCTAGGGGCCTGGGGCCAGCCATATCCTGCTTTCAGCATGCAGAGTCCCTGGGCCCAGCACCTGCCACGCATTTGCGCATCCCAGGGTGAGCAGCCTCTAGCTTCCTGCCAAACATGCACTGCACAGAAAGGTACCTAGATTTCAGAGCGGGCACAGGAGCCTGTTCTCAGGAAGCTTCTGCCAGTCCCCAGATGAGCTGACGTACACCGGCCTCTGCTCACAGAGGTCCAGATTCCAGTCGGCCAGCAGTGACTGGTGTCACTGCTACAGTGCCAAGGAGATTCTGTTTGCCTAGCTGCTGCTCATTTTCTCTCTCAGCTCTCACCTTCCTTCCTTCCTAAGGGTACCCCACGTTCCCTTCTCACTCAGATCCTGCAATGCGCCCCTGCCCCTTCTTCCCCCCACAGCCTTGGCAGCCATGGCTTGGGCGGGCGGGTGTGCCATCTGTAAGTGGTACCAGCATTCTGCCCTGCAGTTGACTCAGCTCCCAGCACAGCTCACCAGAAAACTGGCCACTGGGGCATGGGGTACATGTTGCTTCCTGACCAGTCAGAGTCCTGCTTTGGGGCTGCTGCTCTGTGGGGCCTTCTGACAAGCGCCAGGATTTAGGTAGCTGCCAGGCCCCTAAGGGCTATGTATGTCTAGACTTAGGAGGCTTGTAATATCAGGAGTGGGAAGGACGGAGAGGTTGAAATAGGGAAGAAGCATCAGGTGGGTTCGTGGCCTCCTTGGAGAATCCTAAGGACCTGGGAGTGTTGGAGCCCACAGACGGTTGGTTTCTGATGTGCTTTATATTCTGGTTTTTTTTTTTTTTTTTACCTGAGCCTCACAGCTGCCCAATAACTTAATCATTTCTGTCCTATAGCTTCATGAGAGTCAAAGTCAAGAAAAATGTATTGGATTTAGCATCCTGCTAAAACTAGGAACCTGCACTGTCCCAGTAAAGGGGGAAGGGCAGGATGTTGGCGCAAGGCCAAGACTCCACCTGGTACAACCTGGCACACTTGAATCATGCTTAGTCAAGTGTAAAAGCCCCTCATAACCACTCCCTTCTTTAAACTCCAACCCCGCAGAGGAGGTGGGTGAGGTGACTCTTCCATTTGGGGGCAGAAGAACCGATGCCTAGAGGTGAGTAACTGACCCAACCTCTGCCAGTCAGTAATAGCAGCAGGACTCCCAGCAGGGACCCCTTAGAGGGAAGGGACTGCAGTGCCAGCTCCTGACCTTGGCTTCTCTTGCAGGTGCGCTGGTACCCTTCCTCTGATACCACCCAGCAAGGATGGAAATACCGTCAGTTCTGTTAGTTCTTCAGTAAGTGTTAGTCCAGAGGTCCAGGACGGGAAATGTCCTAGGCCCTGGCTTCCTGCAGGCTCTGCCTAAGCCCGACAGCTCACAGGTGCTAGGCCTCCCCCTAGCTTGGGCATGGGGGTGCTCTGCCTGCCTTCCTCCTTCTCCACCAACCCTGTCACCCCTACCAGCCAGTTGGCAGCTCTAGCCTCTGCTCATGGCCACTTCTCTCCCTCCTCCAGGTCTTGTCAGCTTGAAGTCCTGGCCCCCCGCTGGGGAGGAAGCTGCCCTGAGCTTCCACTGCCCCCAGGCGGCCTGTGGCGCCCTGCTGCTTCCCTCCAAAGACTGTGAATATTAAGCCTGACTCAGTGGACTGCTTCCTGTTTCCTTTCTCTCCTCTCTGCCCTGCCTGCCCAAAGCCCCTCTCCAAGGCCTTATGGGAATTTTCAGAGGTCTTTTCCCCCCAGGACACCCAGGGCCAGCTCAGAGGCCTCACTGGGACCGAGCAAGGCCTAACCCTTGGTCCAGACTTGCTTCCACAGCTCCACCTCAAGGAAAGAGGCCTTTAATTTTGCATGTTTTCTGGCATGAATTATGACACTTAAAATTTGTGTATATGTGAGTGTACAGTTTGTTCTCACTTTGTGTCACTATAGCAACAGGTCCCAGCCACTACAACTCAGCCTTCCTGAGTCCCCCCACACCCCTGCCATACACCCACCCTACTTCACTGAGGCCAAGCCCTGCAGCCAGTCCCACCCAGGGCCCCCCCTCCACCCCACACACTTGCAGGCTGAACAGCACTGACCGCCTGACAGAGATAGTATTTTCTTTTTCATTTCAGGTCAGGGTTCCCCATTTCGTAGATGGGCCAACAACTGTTAAGAAAATCCTTTCTCTGCCCATTTTGCTTACCTCTTCACAGCACACCCCACCTCTGCCACTGGCTCTTATTCTTTCAAACTGCAAAACCAACCAAAAATTGAAAGTATTTTTGTACCCTGTGTAACAAAATATTTATGCATCATAAAGGATTTTTCGTGTGTGTGCAATTAATTATTAAAGAGACCTTGTTTGCCCTGTCAGATAAGTTTAATGTTTTAGTTTGAGGCATGAAGAAGAAAAGGGTTTCCATTCTCCAGCAGTGAGCTTTTGTGTCACATGTTAGTTTAAAGAAAAATGAAGGAAAAATCGTGCAATTTTATTTTGTTTGGTGAGCATAGCAGTGCTTTGCCTTCCGCCACAGCTGTGAATGTCTTGCCGTTTTCAGACGCGGGAGACTAGGTGACTGTTGTAATTGCTGATCCTTTGAGAATGTGAAACTGGATAATATATGAAATGCAAAATAAAAAAAAATCATCCAAAGTAACAGCTCTCTGACCTTTGCTTCTGCGGGGTGTCCACTGCCTTGGGGAGGGTACGTGGAGAAGCAGATGGCAGAGTCGAGGGGGAGGATGTAAGGTGGGCCCAGCCGCACACTCACGCAGCCCCTCCTGTTCTGTGTGACTAAGTTCAGAGGAGCAGGAGCCATACTGTCAGTCCACCCGGTGTTGAATTCAGTCACCTCTTTTCTTTTGGAGCTCCGAGGATAAGGACAGATTGCCTGCACCTAAAATAAGCACCCAAGGGGACCTTCATTTTCTCGTGCTGCTGTTCTCCAAAGAGAAGGGCAGAAGTCAGGGTCCTCTGTGTAGTGTCCTTGGTATATCTGGTGAGGCTGAGCTCCAGGGATAGAGGGGAGCCAGGAATCCTGCCCTGACAGGAGCAGAGGTTGTGAGGGTCCAGGGGAGCTACATCTTGTGAGTTGGTATCTGTTTCTTCATCTGCGTGTGATGGTTTGAAGTCCTCTCCAGGAACCCTGGCCTAATGGCTTAGCCGTTGGTCTCTGCTATGCTCCTCGTAGCTGGGCCTAGAAAGGACAGGAGAGACCTGGGAGCCTCTCCCCCACAAGCTCCGTCCCAGCCCTGCTCCGAAAAAAGTCAAGGTGGTGTGGCTGGCTGTCACTTTCTCACCTGCACCTTGGGTGGCCTGCCATTCTGCTCCACTCCTGCCTCACCCCTTCTCCTGAATCCTGGTCCTGCCCTGGATGACTTGGCTCTAAAATGTTCTGCTAATGAAAGTGTCATGAGTGAGGCAGCCCCAGTTGGTATCTGCATGTGAAAAGGGCTCAGCACCAGGGACCTGTGAGGTGGCTGTCCTGAGGGGGGGGCGTGGGTCTGTGGTGACTGGGCTAGTAGATGGGTGGCCTGAACCAGAGAGAGGCTCTGGGAGGGGAGGGGAATGGGCTGTGTTCATGGCGGAGAGAGGAGGGGGCTTGGCACGGCTCCCGCCTCGTGCCACTGGGTCCCTGTATTTGGGGGACCAGCTGGGCACTTGCCAAGCAAGCAAGGCCTTCCCAGCCTGCAGCCCTCCTTGTGCGGGTGGGAAAGCTGTCTGAGCCCCAGGCCCCCACCCAAGATGAAGCCCACGCCTGACCTACTTCAGCTGTGTCAGGAACCACTGGGTCTTTCTGCGGTGGTGAATTATTTAGCTGGGACGCGTGGGCCTTTCTGATGGGGGCTAAGAAAGCTGCTCCATAATTTAAAGGCCCCTGCTTCTTGGGCTTCCCTAGGGGGGCCTCCTTCACGCTTTACAGGGCAGGCCTCTGTGGCCTGAGAGGAGGAGCCAGGAAGGAAGGGCGGCCCCAGGCGGTCCCAGAGGGGTCTCGCCAGCTGGACGGAGGCCTTTTCTCAGGGTGAGGCCTCCACAGAAAAGCCTTAGTCGTAGACAGTCATATTTGGCCTGAACTTGCGCAGTTGATGAGCCTCCGAAAGGGCAGCGCAGCAAGGACACGGGCAGACAGGGTCAGAGGCAGCCGTCCTGATTTCCCACTCAGTGCTGCTTCTAGAAAGCTTATTCCTTTCTAGAAGGATTTAATCTGAACTCTGATGATTAGTGAAAGGCTTTCTGACAGGATTTTAGGCACCTAAAAATTACCAAGGTTCTTTTGTGGGGGCTGGAGGGAGCCTCATCCCAGAGGTAGTAGAGTACCCCACTGCCCCATATCCCCCCTGTGGCTGAGGAGGCCATCTTCCCACTGTGCTGGCCTCCCACCACACACAAAAGAAGTTGGTGCTAAGCAGATGTTCACTGAGGCACTGGGGAGTGGGGCTGCCCCTGTGAACTGCCCCTGAGCCGACGCTATTTCCTGGGACACAGATGCCTGTGACCCCGACTGGGCCATGCTAGACTCTGCCACATGGCCAGTGTCTTTAGGGGGTGTGACTTATCTCGGAGCTTCACTGGAGAGCAGGCTCCCAGACTCACCTTTGGAACTTCCACATTTTGACTGGGCTTTATAGGAGTCAATAGGTAAAGGCTCAGGCTGCCCGGGGCCCCAGAGTCTCGTGACCCATGTGCCCCAACTCTCCACCCTGCCCTCCTGCCATGCTTGTACCCTGCCCTGCTTAGCACCCCTTCTTAAGGTCCTGAGACTTTTTTTGATCTTAAGGAGCTATCAGAATGCAGATACCCCTAAGAAACAGGGCAAAGTCCTTCAGAATAGGATCAGGAAAGTGCCAGAAGGGAGCTGTGGAAGGGTACAAAATGGAGAGACGAGCCTGCTCAGTATTAGGAGGAAGGAGCAAAGGCCTCTGTTCCCTTGTGGTGTTCCTCCAGAAACAGAGGAGGGGCTTAGCTAAGGGTTCACCCCCTTGTGATAGGGAAGCTTTGTGCAGGGTTCTGGGCAGATTACTGCCCAGCCACATCCATGTTCCAGGGATGACAGGAAAGGGACAGGACCCCTGAGGTGTTGTCCCTGGGCCTCCTTGATCATCACCAAGCCCACCCACACCCTTTGGTTAGAGCTGTTGGGTTTCCAGTTGGGTTGGGTGAATGGGAGCCCCTTTAGGGGTTTGGAGGGAAAATGCTAAGTGAGATGGGTTGTCCTTTGGCCATTGTCTTCATGACTGTAGAGAAAATGACTCACTGACTTTCTGAAGAGATCTCCACCAGCAAAATCAGCAGGTTAGCATGGGGAGTCTTCAGTCCAGGCGAGGAGCTGAAGCAGAGAGGTGAAGTGGCAGCTCTGAGGTGAGGAGGACCTAAGGTGTGCCACCCCGACGCCCAGTCCAGCACTCCACCACACCCATTGGACATTGCTGAAACACATACACACACCCTTTGGCATGTGAACAGAGAAGCGCAAGATGGCCAGGGCACAGAAACCTGTCCCTGTAGTTCCAGAAGCCAGGACTAGCAGTTGGGTTTGCTCTCATACCAGTAGTCTCTGCCGAGGTATCTCTTGTCTCAGCATGGCCTGATCTCTTCCTGGGCTGCTTCCTGGTTAAGGGACAAAGAGAAGACCTCAGTGAGCATCTCGAATCAGTCCAACCCTGCACAGTCACTCTGCCTTTTCACCTGGGGTGGGTTTGTGGAATCACAGTATCCCTCAGACCCCAGTTTATACAGGAACCAAGAGAAGGTGTATTTCTATTTCTACCTTGAGAAAATGCAGCCAGAGGAGGTGTCTAAGATAGAGCGAGGTTCTAACATTCCCCAAAAGCCCGCATTTCCACTCCAAGTGTGTCAATGTTTCTCTGAATCTGTGCCCTCTTCTGCCCTTTAAATTACTCTGAAATTTAAAGATAACATGGAAATGTGCCTAATATATAGGAGGTACTCAATAAGTGTTTGCTACAGTTATCTTAAAAGTAACTCATTCTCATCTTTAGATATGAAATTGACTTGATTTTTTTCAAAATTTTAGAAGATGTATTCATTTATGCATACAAGAACTGGGATATAGGCCATAGGTGCAGTGGGTGAGAGGATCCGCCAAAGACAGAGCAGGGAACAGAACAGGTGGATCTACTGAGATACACTGCTGAGGGGAGCAGCAGGTGAAACAGGAGAGGTCTGCTGCGCCATGTGGGTCAGCTCCCTGGCCGGGGATCGAACTCATGGCAAACTCGTGCTGCAGTGACTGTGGGTTTCTTCATAGTGCTTCGCGTTAAGCTACTGGCTCACCAGGAAGGCCCCTGACTTGATTCTAATCTAGGTATTCTTGGGCTATTTTTCTAAAGCATTGAAAAGGGCTTTACCTGATGGAAGAAGGAGAGGGCTGGGGCCCAGGTTTTGTAGAGAACACTGGCAACCCCCTCCTGCCCACCCCACATGCCTGCTAGCCTTTTGATCCTTTGGCACAAGTTTGGAGAGGTACTAAAATCATGAGTGGCTGTCTTTTATTTATTTATTTATTTATTTATTTTTGGCTCTGTCTTTTGATCAAACCTTTTAGGATTTGAGAATTCTGACAATAGTTGTAGTAGGTTTATGGTTTACAAGATTCATTCAGATACCCCATTTCTGGTGATCCTCGAAAAGCCATTTGAAATAAGCCCCAAAGACATTATTATCTACTTTTTGTGGTTATGGAAACTCAAGTTATAAAGATAGCATAGAAAGCAGAAGGCTCAAGACCCAGGCTTTCTGGATCCCTATCGAGAGATAAATGACTGTAAAAGAGCCATGTGAGGACCCAGGAAGGAACCCCACTTGGGCAGCAAGAAGAGGCAGCAGTTACCCAAGTCTCTCTAGCAACCTGGGTAAGAAATAGGTTTAACAAAAGCAAAGACGGCAGGCGGCCATTAGAATGAGGGAGGGACAAAACTTAGAGAGGGAGGGCAGAGCTCAGAAATCTCATTTCCTAATTTGGCCAGAGCTGGATCATCTTCTGGCAACATCAGTGACCTGAATCTGATCTAGACGATCCCGTTAGTTTGCAAGCAACAGAGACTTCAGAAAGCTGCCTGAAGGAGGAGCTCTTATTACTCAAGATGAATGGCTTGAATTTGTGATTTGTAATAGTTGGAGATAATGGGGCTAGGAGAGGCAGGAGTTAAAGCCACACTGGAGCCACATACCACTCCTGTCTTTGACCTTTGCAGTTGCCCTGGGATGTGGTGGGCGGGAGGACCATCTCCATTGAACAGGAAGTTCAAGTTTGGAGAGGTACCAAAGTCATGAGTGCCGTGTGGAAGTACAGGGCACTGAGTTCTCGACTGGAGTCCCGGGGAAGGACCACACCCGCTCACCCGTTTATTTTCTCTCTGCAGTCATTCTTCTTTGCAGCAAACACTTCTTGAGTATCTGCTGTCTTCCGGGGACAGTGTTTGGAGGACGAGGCAGAGCCTTGTTCAGGCTGTTCTCCAGGTGCACCTGGGGCCTGGGGTTCTGGACTGTGGAGCTGCTTAAGTTGGTAGTAACTGGGGAGGGGAAGATTTAGGAATTAGTGTTTTCAAATGACTCAGTTCCCCTTCCTCCCCCACCATGCTGTCCTACTGCCTGATTTATCCTCCCTGCCTCCCCACC